TGCATTGCTAGAGCTGTAATACCTGGATTGTAAAAATCCAAACACCCCACTAGACTAGATGCTAGCAAAGATAGATGGAAAATTCTAATAGTTTGCTGCCATCCTGTGGCTCTTTAGAGTTTTGCAACTTAGACATAGGATGGTCCAGAAAGAATGTAGATACCGTAGCTTGAAGCTGTCACAATGGACTCTAAAAATGCAGCTTTTTTCCCCTCTATCTTTCAATCTCAAATTGCAGTTTCTTGGTTTTCTTTCACACAGATTGAAATTGCACTCCATGCTGAGAGACAAGAATTCAATTGCCTTCTCTCATTGATTTTCTTATTCAGAATATTCCCCAATGATCTTGAATAAATGGCCCTTGGGGTTGCAAATAACTTAAAAGGGTTATTCTGCAATAACCCAATTAGGCTTGAAAAAGGGGAGCACTGTCAAAATTTGCTCAGGGCTTTGTACCTCAGCTTGCTTCCGTAAGTCCATGGTGGGCAACTGAAACCTGAGAAATTTGTGATACACAAATTAGATTTTTCGAAGCAACTATAGCAAATGGCATGCTGAACCAATGAAATTATTGTTTCTGTGTTGGAAGCTGGTAGATGGGAGTATAGGCATTTGTAACTATAGTGATGCCAAACATGATTAGTGGCATCAAGATACAAAATCTGCCCTGCCATATTTGTATTAATGATGTCACAATTATATATGGAAGGAACATACTGTGTATTGCAACATACATTCTATCACTTTCTCCCCTTGTAGATACCTTTTGGGGGATCATATGTTATTGCATTTTTATTTTTTAAAATTTACTTTTATTTTTATTTGGTTTTTTGTTTACTTTTGTTTTTTGCCCTAATTTTATTTATTTACTTTTCTGTTTGGGTTATTTCTTAGTGTAAAATATTTTGTGCTTCTGATAGCTCCCCCCCCCAATTCTCACTGATGTTTCTCCAAAGTAGAATACATCTGCAGATGTAGGCAGTTGCCTGTGATGTACTGAAAAATGCTTATCATTCACTTACCTGTTGGTCTGGGGCCCGAATGGGGCTTGATCCAATAACAACAGATCCCACCTGCCTTCCCTTCCGCCCCCACCACCACCCACGTGTTCTTAGATTATAATCTTTGGTTTTAATTTATTTATGTTTTAACGCAGACCTATTTTTAAACACTGTAAGCCACCCAGTTACCTTATGGCAGTGGTTCTCAACCTGTGGGTCGGGACCCCATTTGGGGTCGAACGACCATTTCACGGGGGTCACCAAACAATGCAGTCCGCCATTTTTTCCCCCTTTTCCTTAGCTGTGCTACTCCTTTTATTCTATTGGCTTTTGAAAGCCAATAGAATAGACTCTCTTTTTTTAGATTACTATAAAAAATTATATATGGGAACGAAAGTACAGGCTTCAGATATAGATAAATATATACAAGATGCTCATTTCCCTAAATTAACAGAAGATCAGAAACAAGAAATTAATGGTTTGATTACCATCGAGGAAATTGAGATAGTAATTAAAGAATTAAAATTAGGTAAAGCACTGGGTACGGATGGATTGACGTCTATTTATTATAAAACCTTGGTAGAAGAGTTGAAACAACCTTTAAGGGAACTTTTTAACAATATATTACAGGGTTCAGAGACTCCCTTGTCATGGGGCAGAGCTTTCATATCTTTGATTCCAAAAGAAGATCAAGATCTTACTTTACCAAAGAATTATAGACCCATATCTCTTTTGAATGTAGATTATAAGATTTTTTCAAAAATTCTAGCTAATAGACTTATGAAGGTGTTAAATCAATTAATACATATGGATCAAATGGGTTTTATATCTGGAAGGTATATGAAGAATAATGTTAGACAAATTATTAATTTAATAGAATACTTGGATAAAAACAACCAAGTTTCTGCAGGATTGATATTTTTAGATGCTGAAAAAGCCTTTGATCAGTTAAATTGGCAATTTATGTTAAGATTAATTGAGGAAATGAATTTTGGACAAAATTTTTTACAAGCTTTTCGTGTTATTTATCAAAAACAAACGGCACAACTTATAGTTAATGGAGGTTTGTCAGAGGTGTTTTCAATTGAGAAGGGGATTAGACAGGGTTGTCCATTGTCACCATTGCTGTTTGTTTTAACTTTGGAAATTTTGTTGATTAAAATTCGGGAATCACAGAAAATAAAAGGAATAGAAGTTAATAAAAAAGAATATAAATTAAGGGCTTTTGCAGATGATTTGGTTGTTACTTTATCCCAACCAACTCATTCTGTAATGGAGTTGCTACAATTGATATATCAGTATGGACAAGTTTCGGGTTTTAAAATTAATAATAATAAGACTAAAATATTGCCTAAAAACATGACCAATTTGGATAAGGAGACTTTAGTTAGGTTGACAGATTTTGAGGTTGTTAATAAGGTAAAATATTTGGGGGTTATTTTATCTACCTCCAATGCAAAATTGTATAAAAATAATTATGAAAGGCTGTGGGTTAAAATACAAAAAGATTTGGAAAATTGGAAGAAGCTGCAATTATCCCTACCGGGGAGAATTGCAGCGATTAAAATGAATATTTTGCCAAAGTTTCTCTTTTTATTTCAAATGATACCTATTTTAAAGAATGAGGTCAACTTAAATGAATGGCAGAAAGGTATCAATAAATTTATCTGGGCAGGGAAAAAACCAAGAGAAAAACTTAAAATTACACAAGATATTCGTGAGAGAGGTGGACTCAAGGTACCGAACCTGAAATTGTATTATGATGCTGTGGTGTTAACATTAATTAGTGATTGGGTTAACTTAACTAATGTAGATGTACTCCTTTTTGAGGGATGGGATTTACTTTTTGGATGGCATGCCTATTTAATTTTTAATAAAAAGGTTGATAGGGTTTTTAAGTCTCATATTTTAAGAATTGGCAATTAAAATCTATGGAAGATTTAATACAAGAAAATATCATTTATTCATGGTTTCAGTATAGACAATTATTGGAAAGGTGGAAGATAGATTGCAAGAGAGGATGAGAATTTGTTAAAACAAATAAAAGATCAAAGACGAACCCATATCAAAAGAATTTATGGGGTGTTAGTGGAATTGGATTCAGAAGCAGAACTAGTTAAAGATTGTATGGTTAAATGGGCACAAAATTTTGATGAATTGGTTCCATTAGATACTTGGGAGATTATTTGGGTGAGAAATGTCAAATTTACACAAGCCCCAAACTTACGGGAAAACTTTTATAAAATGTTTTATAGATGGCACCTTGATCCACAAAAAATGTCTCGTATGTATCCAAACTTGCAGCCTAAATGTTGGAGATGTGGTTGCTTGGACGCCACATATTATCATATTTGGTGGTTATGCAAAAACATAAAAGTTTTTTGGATTAAGATATGGTGGAATATTCAAAGAATTTTTAAAAGAAGGATAAAATTTACTCCACAATTGTTTTTGTTGGGTATTGTTTCCGATTGTGACAGTAAAGAAACTATATTAATGTTAAATCTAATTACAGCGTCTAGGTTGTTAGTAGGGCAATGTTGGAAGAAGGAATCTTTGCCTACTTTGCAAGAATGGTTTCTTAAAGTTTCTTATTTAGCGGAAATGGCAAAGATTTCGGTTTTCTTGAAAGATCAATCGCAAGAGAAGTACCTTTTGGTATGGAAAAGATGGATAAATTTTATACAATACAAGTATGATATAAAAATATTATTTAGCTTTTGAATAATTTATATTTAAAGTTTAAGATATTTTTTAAATATTTTTTTTTCTTTTTCTAACCTTTTTTTCTTTCTCTTTCTTCTTCTTTTTCTTGTTTCTTTTCTTTTTCTCTTTCTGTTTTTTAAATATTGGTGTTAAAGTATTTTATGATTTGTTTAATTATTGTAACCACATTTGTATATGGTTTATTTGTGTTTAAAATTTTTTCTTTTAAATTTTAATCAAGCCTGTATTCAGCTCTGGGAAGGTTGGGGGAGGGTTGGGGTGGGTTGGGAGGGTTCGGGGAAGGGAACTTTTTTGTAAAATTTTAAAAATTCTCAATTAAAAAAAAAAAAAAGAATAGACTCTCTTGAATAAAGTCTAATTCCATTGGCTTTCAAAAACCAATAGGAATTGTCCAGGCTGTCTCTGCCCTGCTGAGCCCGCCAAAAGTCCCATTCTGACGGGTTGGGGGTCGCGGCATTAAAAAGGTTGAGAACTACTACCTTATGGTAAGATGGGTAGCCAATACATCATCATCACAAGTATTCCATTATTTAACTATATGAAAAGCAACCACTCATCATGTGATAGGTTTTTTCGCTCAGATGTAAAAGAACTTGACTGGCCTAAAGTATTGTATACCTAAAGTATTATATACCTATAGTCACTAAGTTGGAAAAACACCGATGTACAGTGAACAAAAGGGACTCCACCTGTTATTCCAGTCAGACTTTAGATCAGCATGTAGATTCAGAACAATGTTGGAAAAACCAACTTGGTAACTTTAAGATGTGTGAACCCATGCTGGTTGGGGAATTCTGGGAGTTGAAGTCCACCCATCTTAAAGTTACCAAGTTGGAAAAACACTGGTGTACAGTGACTGCGATAGCTGGTTGTGCTCAATCTTATTCCACAAAAAGCTTTATTATTTCTTTCTCAGTTTTTCAGCAAGTGCAGGATCTGCTTTTTTTCGGATCAACCAAATCTCTTAAGAAAGGACTAGTCTTTTGGTTTCTAGCCCGGTGCCTTAACCACTACACCAAACTGGCTCTTACCCTGCACAATGCTTACACCTCGGATCAAAACGAGACCCATCTAACAGGAACAGCAACTGGAATTATCCTTCCACCTGCAAGCACCCTACAATTCCCAGCCGCTGGCGGAAACGTAACCGGGCTTGCAGCCTCCACCTCCACCAGAATCCAGCGGTGAAACGGAATGGAAGCTGCAAAGGTATAGGGGCAAAAATTGGGTTAGTACGCATGCGCAGATCCCTGCTGCTGCTGCTGCTGCTGCTGCTGCTCTGCTGCTGCTGCCTGTTTTCCTTTCCGGCCGCCATCTTGGTCTCCTCCGCGTGCGGCTCCCGGGGTCGGCGCTTCCCTCCTGCGGCTTTTCCTGCTCGCCTGTCGGGATCCGGCCGTTTCGTCCCGCAAAGGTACGGCAAGACCCCAGAGGAAACGTGGGAGGGGGGCAAAAAGCCGCCGGTGGCAATCGAGATCCGTTTCTGGGACAGCCCCCCCCGTGGGCCTCTGAAGAAGCCTCAGGTCTGAGCGCCGAGTGAATCCCGGTGCAGCCTCCGGAAGTGGCCGCCTGATTTCTGTCGCTTCGCAGCCGCCGGCACTTCGGGAGCGGACGTTGCCTTCTCGCATAAGGAAGCTGCAGTTTCTCGTAGGCTGAGCCGAGCAGGGCCGGGCTCGTTTGAACGTCCTCTTTAATCCCGCCGGCACCGAAGCGGTGCGGCTCTCTGCCCGTCTAATCCTCCCCTTTGCCTTTTTTTTTTTCCCTTAGATGAAAGAAACGATCATGAATCAAGAAAAATTAGCTAAACTACAGGCCCAAGTGCGCATCGGTGGGAAGGTAAGGCGGGCTACTTCTTCCTATTCCTTGTCCCTCTTTTAACCTCGCATGGAACTACCGTCCTTCGGTAGCCATGTTGTGGGCTTGCTCTGCCGGCTTGGCCCGTAAAGGCCTCTTCTGACTTTCGTCTTGCTCTCACGATTTAAATCTTTTCCATAAATGGTTCGTATAAGTCATGGCTTTGTGACTGGTTTGGAGGGGTGAGTTGCAAGTTGGAATGTTATGTAGGTCTGTTGAAAACATTCAGTGAGCGTTATTTACAGAAGGTGCTTTAGGTAGGCCTGATTTTTATGTGATTAAATTGTTAAATAGATAAACAAATAAATCATAGGAGATGAGAAGGAGTGTTCAAACGGACAGTGAGACCATACGTGATTTTAGTAAGCTAAGTGAGAATGGATCTGGTTAATACTTGAGTGAAAGACTACCAGAAAATAGCAGACTTGAAGGCTGGGCTATAAAGTTGAAAAAATATCCCAGCCCACCATTTTCACGTTGTTGCACTAAAACTGTAATTATAAAGAGTCATATTTGAGTTGAGGAACCATGTTTGAGGGCTGTTCTTTAACTTGCATAGCCATTAAATTCATTGGATAATAAAAAGGGAAAGGAATTAAGGCTCTTTCTGTTTTGGAGAAAAGCTATATACAGTTGGAAACAATGTAATGTGCTTATAACTTCTGATTTAACAAATCAGATTTGCTAATTGTTCTGTTCTAAAAATTGTTACATTCTCCATGCTGTATTTAAACTTCGCATGTTTTAAACTTTGTATGCTAACAAAAAGGGGTGGTTGGCCAGAGAATGCTGCCCTTTCTTTTTCATGTTTGAAAAAATAATAACCACAATAATTAGTATCTGATAAATATGCTTTTATTCTAGCAATTTGTGAAAATAACATGATAAAGATAATTTGCTAACAATAAATCATGTGCTAAACATATATATTGAAAGTTGATAAATTAAGCAGAGTTAGACTTAATTAGACTGTCCAGTGGGAGTTCCCTGAGATACTAGGGCTGTAGGATGAAAAGTGTAGAAACATCTTGGAAGAAGGCAGTAACGCCTCATGTACAATTACCAAGAAAACATTTTGGACATTTTTTGAGGACATCAGGAGTTGGATTTTAGTTAACAGAGGCTTTACCTTTTTATACTACGTGTTCCTAAATTAAAGATTCAACAAATTCATTAGGACTTAACTTTTCCATCAGGCTGATTGCTATAATGGAATCTAGTCCTGTGGCCACTTATTTGGAAGAAAGCCTTTAAATTATATGGTACTCTTGCATAGATAATATGGGATTCTGTCAAAGATTAAACACGGCCTGTATGTTGTACCTTTCTGATATGGACAATATTAGATTCAGGTTGAATAAGAAATGTATCCTTAATTAAGGGTGGAGTCTGGAATTTCAGGTCCCAGCATGCTTACAGCTGGAACATATAATTTTCACCATATACACTAAATGGTTATTAAGTAGCATAAAGCAGTATGGTTTTTAGACTGAAAATAATGACTAAGATGTCTTAGCCTGTGAATTTAGTTGATTTAATTGAATTAAATTTTTCATACATTTTCAGAATATGATATAGTACTTAAGGTGTTGGGTTCATACTCTTAGCCATGAAAGTTTACTGAGTAGTATTCCAATCATTTTCTTTCAGTCCAGTTTATCCCTCAGGGTCATTGCTGTGCATAAAATTAGAGGATAAATTGCTATATTTGTCACTTTATCCTGGTTGATTAATTGGTGCCCTCCATTTGTTCAACACTTCAGAATTGCTTAGCTACAATTATCTTTACTGCATATATAAGCAGTGGGAATCCATTTCCATGAAGAAAAACTATGATTCAAAAACTATGATTCAAAAAGAGGCTGTCTTAAAACATTGAGTCATTGTTCTACAGTCATTTAGACCCACTGACTTAAAATACCATTCCAATTGAATATGTTTTATATTTTTTCTCTTTTTTGTTCATTCCTCATTACTTGTGGCTCTTACCATGATTTCTGGAACATCTTGGCCTCCTGACCACATTTCGCTCACAATTCTCTCTTCCAAAGAAAGAGAACTGTGCAAATGGGCTTTTTTTGGTTTGCTTTATGGTATATAATATTAAATAAGTCACCTGCTAGTAATAAAAGACTGATGGGTGCTTTCATATCTGCTTTCATTTTCTTCACAGATGCTTTGTATATTTGTCCATGAAAACTGAATTACTTAGATTAAAGAAAACAGGGTATAAAGCCCCCCAAAATATTGTAACAATGTTTCAAATCTACCAGAAGTTATTGGGCTCTTTAGGTAAATATATCTGTGCTGCTAATGTTTGTGTTAATTCTCTGAAAAATATATTTTCAGCATTTGAAATAGCTTATTTGGCTAATATTATATATAAGTCTGTTTTTATCTAATGTTGTTGAACTTGCTTCGTTCCTTTTATCAGTAGAGTTGCTTAGCTTTTGCAGAAAGAAAATAGTGCTTAATGCATCCAGAGATAGAATTAGACTGCCTGACCTGCATAAATGTTTAAAGACAACATTTTGAAGAGGTTTTAAAACGTACTCTTTCTCTGTAGGGTACTGCTCGTAGAAAGAAGAAGGTGGTTCACAGAACAGCTACAGCAGATGACAAGAAACTTCAGTTTTCCTTAAAGAAATTGGGTGTAAATAACATATCTGGGATTGAAGAGGTAACAAAATGCTGCTTTTAAGAAAATGGAGCAGTAGGAAATGGGTGAAATAGAGCTCATTCATATAAAACATGTATTAATACATTTAATAGATTATTTTCCTTGTATTATAGGTCAACATGTTCACCAACCAAGGCACTGTAATTCACTTCAACAATCCTAAAGTTCAAGCTTCACTAGCTGCTAACACTTTTACAATCACAGGCCATGCTGAGACAAAGCAGCTGACTGAAATGTTGCCTAGCATCTTAAACCAGCTTGGCGCCGATAGTCTGACAAGTTTGAGGAGACTGGCAGAAGCTTTACCAAAACAATGTAAGTAAAAACCCACTATACTTAATGAAAATCCTGGAAAGGGTTTAAAGCATTTCTATTAAGTATCTAGATAGGCTTGCAGTCTTTCTGAAAAAGTTGCTAAATTTGGGATTCCATTGAAATGCATTCTTCATTAGAACTTAATATATTGTTCATGATTTTCACTTAATGTCCAGATTGAGCAGGTGGTGTGATAAATAAAAATTCTTTTTGACAAATGTATAAAAGATCTGTGTTAAAACTATATTCCGGATTATGAGTTGTGTAGAGAAGATTTGAGACCAAGTTTTTGTATAATTAGCATAGATCAGGCTGGGGCCTCAAAGACTTCACAATAGGTGTAGAGTTAGTCCTGCAGGAATTATGGTAGCATAAGAACTGATAAAAATCAGATCTTTGTTTGGGCTTTTAAAAATAAAAGATGCATCAATTCTAATAGACAATAGGATTATTTATTTTCTTATTCCACTAAAAGAAAACCTTATTGTGTGATATAAACCAAAGCAAGAAGGCACAAATAAGCAGCTGAAGGTTCACATTCCCCACAAGTGTAAACTGCATCTTCATGCTTGTAATAGGAAATAGGCAAAAATTGTTTTGTGGTGGCCTAGTAATTAGAAAAATGATTCAGTGTGTAATGCAAAAAGTATTGCCTGGAATTTTAGGTAATTCAGATGTTTTTCATGTCCTCTTACAAAGAGTGGAATCAGGAAGAGGGATGATAGCTCTGTTCCTCTATTGATAAAGATTTTTTTTAATGAATTGAGAAAAGTGCAAGTACATTTTTCTTAGTTCCTGAACAAAAGAGAGGAACCTGATGTGTTCCCTTGACTAATTATTATGAATAACCAGATTTTTCTGCATATAAAGAAACTGGTTGAATAAATATATCTGGTCTACTTTTCCAAATCTGGAAGAACAAGATAGAATTTGATTGAATAATATTACAAGTTACTCTCTCAAATACAACATTGAATTCAGAAGTGCTTTTGTTTTTACCTTGAGAGCAGTCTGAATATTTTTTTTTCTAGCTTGAAATAATGTTGAACTGATTCTTCCTTATTTTATTACATGCAATTTTGGGCTCATTCTTGCCTAAAAGCAAACTATATATGTGTGAAATCTGACTATTTTGGACAATAGCAGACAACAAAATTCAAGATATACTTTGGGTGGATTATTCTTGTATTAAATATATTACATTCACAAATTCTGTGTGAATGTATCTATTTGGAAGTGCCATTGAGTTCAGTAGGAATTTTTCCGAAGTAAGTGAATAAGAGACATTGTGATGGCAGGTTAAAATATTAGACAAGGGATGCTTCATCCATGTCTTAATATGTGATTTCAGCTGTGGATGGAAAAGCACCTCTTGCTACTGGAGAAGATGATGATGATGAAGTTCCAGGTAAGAATTGTTAGCCTCATTTCTTATTTTTAAGGACAGGATTCGAACAAATTTGAATATTTTGTGTTCTTACCACTTTAGATGGAAGTAATTTTTTGGCCCAATTTTTATTATGCCCAGAAAAGTGGAATATGGATTAGACCTCCAATGTATACAGATAACCCTCATCTTACAACAGAAGTTGAGACCAGAATTTTCATTGCTAAATGATGCAGTTGCAAAGTGCAAAGTCCCCTGTCTGTGATTCTTAGGCACAACAGTTTTAGCATTTCTGGTTGCTGTTGTTAAGGGTATCGTCATGGCTTCTCAAGTAAGGACATCACACTTCCTGTCAGCTTTCTCATTGACTTCACTTGTTGGAAGCTGGGAAAGGAAGTCACAGATGGCAACTGTATGATCATGGAACTCTGTGACACAATTGTGAACAAGCACTGAATGCTTGGTTGCAGATGCATGATTGTGGTGACATTGCAGCAGCTGAAACTTAAGGGCAGGCCCCTTGTTCAGTGCTGTTATAACTTTGAACGGTCACTGAATGAGTGGACCGAAGGACTGTAACTAGTTAAAAATTGTTGCATTACAGATTAGTTGAGTAAATATATATGAGGTAGAGATAGTTGTATAGTTATGCATGAAGCTTTAATACCTAATGCTTTCTGACAGATGTACAATTCTAAAAAGTTTTAGATGTTAGCATAAGGATTGAAATAACACTGGACTTTTTTTCCACTTAAAAAAAACCTCATTCCATTTTTTTTTTTTTGCAGATCTCGTGGAGAACTTTGATGAGGCTTCCAAAAATGAAGCAAATTGAATTGTCATGTTCAGTAAAACTTGAAAATTATGTGGAGCTGCTATTTTTTATTGTGACTTTTATTTGTAATATTTTGTACTGATCTTAGTCTTAAGATCTGTAATATTTGGAAACTTGGTTCAATGCAGCTCTTTTCAGTTATTGTTGATGCACAGTGCAAATGGGCTGGAAGTACACAAAATGGAAAAGTACTAAGTCCAAAAGCTAATAAAGACTAAATCTTTAGGCAAATACTTTACTGGTATTTTTTGTATATAATTAAAAGTTACTTGTGATAATGGTGGGAAATGAAGGTTTTTGGCTTTAAATCTTACTTTGATAATAACTTAAGATCTTCCAGAGCCACTTTTTTTGCATTACCTATTATGATTTATGCCAACAAATTGAAATGGATTTCAGTTCACAACTAGATTATTGATGGTGGTTCAGATTTTATCTGGATAAAAGACAGGTTAGATTACTAAATGTTATAGATAGGCTGACACTAACCATTTAGTTAAAGGTTTCATATTTGGTTTAACATAACCTTCACTGGGTCTCCTCTTGATATGCTGGATTTCAACTCTCCCAAGTTCTTAACAGCAGGGCATCTATCTATATTATATGGGAATTATAGGAGAAAAAATCTGATTGATGTTGAAAAGCCTAAAATGTAGAAGGCAAACTTTAAATTTTTTCCTCCAAGTTTATTTATTTAATAATAATGATAAAACTGGAAGGGACCTTGGAGGTCATCTAGACCAACCTCCTGCTCAGGCAGCAAACCCTATATCATTTAAGACAAATGGCTATCCAGTTTCTTCTTAAAAACTTCCAGTGTTGGAGCATTCACAGCTTCTGGAGGCAGGTTGTTCCACTGATCAATTCTGTCAGAAAATTTCTTCTTAGTTCTAAGTTGCTTCTCCCTTTGGCTAGTTTCCATCCGTTGCTTCTTGTCCTGCCTTCAGGTGCTTTGGAGAATAGCTTGACTCTCTCTTCTTTGTGGCAACCCCTGAGATATTGGAACATGGCTATCATGTCACCCCTCGTCCTTCTCTTCATTAAACTAGATATACACAATTCCAGCAACTGTTCCTTGTTTTAGCCTCCAGTCCCCTGATCATCTGTTGCTCTTTATACTCTTTCTAGAGTCTCAACATCTTTTTTACATCGTGGTGACCAAAACTGGATGCAGTATTCCAAGTGTGGCTTTACCAAGGCATTGTAAAGTGGTATTAACACTTCACATGATCTTGATTCTATCCCTGTTAATGCAGCCTAGCACTGTGGTTTTTTGGCAGCTCTAGCACACTGCTGGCTCATATTTAAGTGATTGTCCACTAGGACCCCGAAATTCCTCTCACAGTTGCTACTATTGGGCAAGGTACCACCTATACTATACCTGTACATTTAAATGAATATGTATGTACAGTATGATCTTTGTTTAGTAGCACATTTATAAAGTTTGGACAATGCAGAAGAATAAGGTCATGGGCTTCAGGTGAGCCTAAAGCAGTGTTTCTCAACCTTGACAATTTTAAGGCATGTGGACTTCAACTCCCAGAATTCCACAGCCAGCATTGCTGGCTGTGGAATTCTGGGAGTTGAAGTCCACATGCCTTAAAATTGTCAAGGTTGAGAAACACTGGCCTAAAGGTATCTACAATAGACTTTCAAATTATCAGGAATAATCTTGGGAGTTGCTGAGATTTTAGTGGTAGGGTGATTTGTTTTAATTATTCTTTACAGCAATTATTGCCGTTCCCCTTTCCATGTGGAAGTTAATATAAAGAATTGTTCAAAATCACTACACATCAATAGATACAACTACTACCATCAGAAGCTGTTCTGGTTTCCACTTTGCTTTTACTTTTAAGACAGCAGTTTGTTAACAAAGCACCAAATGAGTATATGTTGTCTTGAATAATTGGATCTTCAGCAGTAGAATTATGTTCATTCTGTCTAGATGCAAACAATACTGAATTTGAAGCAATTATTTGGACATTAGTATCTCACAGGTATAAAGGTACAGTAAACATAAACACAATGTTCACATGTGCTGGAAGTTGTCTTTTGGTTGAATGAATCTTGATTTTTAGATAAAATAACAGTTGTAGTTCATCAGCTGTACTGGTGCTTGGACAAAAGACTGGTGTAGGAATCTGTATTTCAGTCCTTAGATTATTTAAAAAAGGTAGGCACAGGCAAGATGAATCATTTGACATCTCTGCTATGCTCTAAAATGACACGTAAATAAGTGTTCTTTTTTAGAGATAGTAATTACTCTAGTCCATGGCTAAATAGTCCAACTTATATACTATTTGTATGAAAGATCAGCAGGAAAACCCAGAACATACAGGCTGCATGGAAAAGTTGAAATAATTTCCTGGAAGGTCATGGCAAATCAGTTTCATATTGCCAATAATGAAGTAATGGACCAATCCTTCTATTTACCTTAATTATAATGCAAAAAAGCAATTAATGCATGTAGTATAGAACAGAGGCCCCCAAACTTGGCACCAGGGACCGGTTCCGTGGAGAGAGGTTTTCTGCAGACGGGTGTGTGTGTGTGTGTGGTTTCACGTGCATCCTGCAGATGGGGCTTTGCTTGTTTGCGTGGACCAGTGCTGGTCCATGAACCGGGGTTGGGGACCCCTGGTATAGAGCATCCCATTTTTAACAATATGCTTTTAAAAATTGACTACTGTAGATAAGTTCTTAAGATTGCAGTCTGACTGGGAAGGTTATACAGTAGGAAAGTATTCAACAGTGCCATTTACCAACTACTACAAATATGGGTAGTGGCAGGAATTGCATCTATTTTACCAAATATCTATAACTGTTGGTGCTGTCTAGCTTTTTTCAATAAAACTCCCAGGGCCAGAACTGCAGTCTTCAACATGCTATTGCAGAAGACAAATTATCAACATGACTTATTTTATGTATTTTTATTTACATGGTAATGAATACTGTGTGCAAATGGTTTTCTGACATCTTTAACAATTTCAGTGATCTACAGGAAAAAAACTTATAACTTCTATACTATTTAATGGTGAAATGGAAGTATGGAATAACAGCAACATGTAGCTTGCTGCTAGTTATAAATACTGAGGTAAAGCTCTTTCTAAAAATACAATACAAAACAGATTTAAAAAGATCATGATAGACAACAGCTCAAAAACACAATTTGTACTTTATATAAAATAACACTCCCAAAACAGTTTAAAAATGTAAATTTCCTTTCAAGTCACAATTCTATAAAATCAAAACAGTATTTTATCTCAAAAGGCTTGAGAATATAATAACACATAGCATATTAAATACAAATTGAGAGGTACACACATTTTCAGCTACCTAAAAAATAAGTAGCAGAATCTAAATGATTCTCTTTGGCTAGTAAAGACTCTCATAGTAGGCGAATCTGCCATATGTTAAGTATTGCACAATTTCCCTACAGTAGTTTAGAGGCATATGTCTGTATTTTCAATGAAACATGCTTACCTCATGCTTTTTGAGTTTTAATGTGAGAATTAACAATTCCATTTAACATGAAATAAAGATAATTAATATTCAGGATAATATCAATGCATGGGTGGCAAATTTGTTACAATCCAGAGTAATTTCATTTAGTGGTCAATATTTTTTATAACATTCCTAAAACAGAAGGCTTTGAACAAGCACTACAGTAAGATACATTTATTTTAGGTGGCTCTTAATTAAAACACCAATCTTTTTAATTGTAATAGTGTGTTAATGTTAATAATTTTTTCAGTCATTCCAGGTTATAGCTTCAGTCAGCTATATTTTTGTTTTTGTGTATATATTATTTCTCTATCCAGTTCAAATACTTAAGCTATATTAGAAAAGCATGTTAAACCAGTATATTTCAATAGCGGCACTGAAATAAAACAAGCTATTTGCATAAAAAGTCTGTTCTTCTAAGATTTTAGAAGTCAGTTGTAAACATAAAAAAACCCCTATTTAAAATAGCAAAGAACTGACTGTTGTCTATACATGAAAATAAATAGCTACATGAACTACACATTATAGTTGGCACCAACTGAATCAAAATAGTGTATTGGATTAATACAGTCTGAAAAACTATCTTGCTATCAACTTGAAATGTATAAAATAAATCATACATCAGGATGGGATATAATTTTGTATATTGTCATAGTACTTTACAATTTCTTTTTTCAAGTGCATACATGAAATAGAAATAGGATAAGTATGAATTTTAAACATCTATGAACATCACTCAAATGAAAATGGTTCACCTAAAATATTACTCAAAAGAAAAAAAAATGGCTTGAATAAATTCCATAAATTTTTCCTGAACTCAGCTTTCAAGTGCTGTGTCATTATTACCCATTCTTGTATCTTAAACAATGAAACAGAAATTCTAATGTCATAGACCTGTGATGGCGAACCTTTTAGAGATTAGTGCCCAAACTGCAACTCAAAACCCACTTATGTATCATTGAGTGCTGGGTGGGCGTGGCCCATTGGGTGGGTGTGGCCAGTTGGGTGGGCATGGCTGCGGTAGTAATGGCAGACTGGGTGGGACTAAAAAGTTCAATCAATTCCAACTTTGCGAGATCTTTTTTTTCCCCCTTGAGAAGTTGAAATTGATTGATTGATTGAACCTTTTTTTTTTGCACACGGCGGTGGAGGCCTAAAGCAAAAAGGTTTTATAAAACCCAGCTGAAGGCCTAGGACCAGGGCGATGGCGCACGTGCCCCCAGAGAGGGCGCGGCGTGCCACCTGTGGCACGTGTGCCATAGGTTCACCACCATGGTCATAGACCCTACTATGAAATATTGGAACAATAAACCAGCACTATGGTACAGGAAAAGTTTGCTGGGACAAAAGGCAGTTTCTTCTACTTATAATCAACTGCTAAATATGCATGCCACTAACAATTTCAAGCACATTTAGTAAGTAGTAAGAATGAGGAATGGACTAAGTTACCAATTAAAAAATACTTTTGTACTGATCAGTATTCAAATGAAGTCCATTTCTTCTTTTATTCCATAGCTATAATATTATTCCTTGATATTTTGAAGGAGTGTTAATAAATGAGTCTCAATAACCTGTTGAACTGAAATAGAGGAAAACGTCGTTAGTATTCAATCTTTAACTGGAGACTCTTCTAAAAGCACTGAAAGATGTGAGGACTACAGTGAGATTTTGTAATAGTTGGTATTTGCATTATGCACACACCTATCAGTCTCCAATAACAATTGGCTATACTTGTGAAGAAAAAAAACCAAGTTATACCTAGTACTACACTTAATTCTGAGTGGCTGTGGTTAGCGATGTTGGGGAAAATGTTTAGACTCCCTGATGCAACAAGATACCGGATTTTCTACCCTTCACCTCTATATGGAAAAAAATAAGGATTGCTGTTTGGGTGCACTGTTAGGAGTAATAGATTGTTCCCAAGCTTCTGCACTGATAATGACATAGCTACAAGCAAATACATGTGTGTGCTTTACGCAGTCACACATCGGATGGTTTTTTAGATTAAGCAAGTTCCACTGTGTCATCTCTTGAACATGCTGTACTATAACCAGGTATTGGAGAAATACCTGGTTTTACAAACAAATAAAGCAATTTACAACATTAGGAAACATAAAAAGATTTTTATTTTCACATTAAAAGGGAATTGAGGCACATAATATTTAACTTTGCTTAGCTATGTAAATAGTAAAGAATGCTGTTCTTTAAAGAAGCAGCAAGAAACACTTGGGAGGACTTCTGATTTAACAGGTCATGGTTCCAAAATGCCTATTCACATACTCATAACAAACCTATTAAGTGGTTAAACGAGAGTCAGAAGTCAATGTCTTTTATTTCTTCCCCTCCCTTTCATCACACTTTTTTTTGTTTTTGCTTTCTCTACTGTTGTCCCATACTATTTGCTTTGTATTTTCACATTTTATTTTATAAATGAATAAAACTAATTAAAAATAAAAAAATAAAAAATGGTTAAATTAATCAATTGACAGTAAAAAGGACTGCAGCAGCATGTTAAAAAGTGCTTGAATTCTCACCACTACGATGGCCCAAGGCTACAGCAAGATCCATAGAATTATATCCAGAATCCGTTTCTACAGTTGGATCAGCACCATGTTCTATTTAAAACAAAACGACATTTAGGAGTATGTACATGCATTGTTAATCTCATTGGTTAATCTAAAAGTTCCCAAACTTTCTTGCTTCACAATGCTCCTATGTTGTTCCAGTGATGAACACACTAACAGTTCTATTTATTTAGCAAAATACCCCACACTATCCCTGTGAGTTCACTGCCACAGCACACAGTTTGAGCACTAAAGGTTTTATTTGTATTAATAATAATTACCTAAGAGTATTTTGACACATTTCACATGATTCCCATGAACAGCATAGAGCAAGGGTGTACCACCATTCTGAGGAGAAAAAAAATATTATTTTTGCACAGCTTAATGATAAAAACATTAGCCCCAAAACTTTAATTTAGTTTATCAGCAAAGTGTATTATATAGGCCCAATTAATCCTTTTCTTATCAAATCATGTCTGTAAAGCAACAGAAAGAGATTTTTTGTGTATGACATAGACTTTAGCTTGCACCTACTAGTTAGGTGGCTTTCCTATAGCTGGGCTGCAACTCGGCCTGCTGACTAGAATATTGCAGGAAGCATTCGGGTGTCATGGCCACAAGGAATGGGGAAGGAACTACAAGCCACAAATTGCCCTCAGATCCTGGGACAATAACAAGAGGAAAGTGCTTGGGAATTAAAACAGGCCAAAGCAGTTGCCATTCTGGTATTCCAATGGTTTTATAAGATGACAGAGAGCAGAAATTGCAGAAAAACAAAACGTAATGGGCAGTCTTTCCCAAGATTAATTAGGAAGGCTAGAAGAAAAAGAAGAGGAAGAAGCAGATAAAAGGGACGGACAAGATCAAATACATTGTAGGAATATTGTAGAAAAATTCTGCCACATACATTAAAATGGCAAGCCTTCATCTATCTAGTCACTGTGTCAAGCTTAACTTGATGGCATCCAACTAACCCTAACACAACTAAACCTTGAAAATTAACTTAGCCATTTTGATTAGTATGAAGAGCCAAAACCCTGAATTATACAGTCAAAGAAAATAAAGTCAAATATGTTTGTACAATTCAATTTACCATATCAACTATTCACAAAACAACGAGTATCATATAAAGAACAGAAACTGAAACAAGGACAGTCACCCTTTATGCTCTACTAGTGGCTTATCTAGTGCTGTGATATGTTCCCAAGCCTCTGTCTGTGAGAGAGATAGGCAATTTTAAAATATGATGATAGATAGATAGATAGATAGATAGATAGATAGATAGATAGATAGATAGATAGAATAAGTTCACAATGTTACATATGGCACCTGCACTCCCACTGAGAAACTTACCCAGTCATATTCATTTACATCAACTCCACAATCCAGTAGCATCTTGACAATGTCTGTATATCCTTTACTACATGCTAACGACAGTGCACTCTCTCGACCTTTCCCCAAGATTTGTGGGTCTGCACCCTGTCAGGAAAAACAGCATTGGTTTCATTAACAAGATCATTCATGTGTGCAACCCATGGGTCAATCAAATGGTCTCCTAAGTCCAAGGATCAAACCCCCATTATAACATATAGCTATTTGCTTCTTTAAAATGAGTACAACATCTCTAAGCAGCCAAGGAATAATTTGCTTGAATGAGCCACCCTTTCTTCTTTATGCATAATTCTTCCTCTGTTGCAGTTTAAAATAATTGCTTCTTAAATCTGGCTCTTCAGACAGTTTTTATTAATAATAACCTTTATGTTCCGAAAGAATCACATATCTTCACTCATTATATTTCCCACTATCCCTCTTTTAGAACAGGAATATTTTAAGCTAGAAAATCTTGCTCTGTACTAGACAAGGAGACCATTTTCACTCATAAGGATGTGGCTTGTGAATCTGAAGTTTGGCATGCAGGCTACATTCGCAACACCTGCATATTCATTTCTAAGTTTTTATATTTTCTGTTGGTAGTGGTACAACTTCTTTAAATTTTATTGAACAATTTATGTTCAAGATGGAAAGAAACATACTTGTTTGTAGCATCATTAGACATGTATAAAATACAATACAGTTTCACTTACATTTTGGAGTAGAAATTCTACTACTGCGATTTGCCCATGAGCTGCAGCCCACATTAGAGGAGTAAAACCTTCTTCATCCATATGATTGATAACATTTTCTGTTTGACAAAACACACAGGTCAACTATCTTTCCACTTATTCTGCCCCCAAATTACCCAAACTGCTGCCAAAACCTGCATCCCATTCATAGTACTTGGGGGTTGCAATATATACTCCCAGCTATATTTGGCCCATGATTCAACCACGTCTAAGGTACATAATCAGTTTGACATGTTAAAACAGCTTTTTCTGTTTTTCTTTTTAGTTTAAATAAATTATGATTTAATTAGATAAAAATCTTTTCTTATATATTCCTACAGTAGTTCTATACCACAAAAAAATCCGAAGAAGAATTTCTTGGTGAAATTAAAAATATAAACATTCTAAAACATTTATTATTAGTTGTTTACATTCATCAAATGGTCGTCTGAAAGGTGCACAGATTGATTTTAAAGGTAAGAAACAAAATTATTGATGATAACACTGTAATTTAAGCAACGTTATAGCAAATACTGTCAGAACTGAATAATAATGGCATGAAAAGAAGCTTATACAATACAGGCAAAACTCTTCTATTAGGAGCATGTTCTTTTGCTCATGTCAAATGATTCACCAAAATTACAGGATACCTTGGATAATAATTTCATAGTACTACAGAAAAGGTTTGCTAATAAATACATTTTCCCAAAGAAAAAATGTAGAAGCCCCTTAACCCTACTCTATCTACTGCTTTTAAATCTTTTGCTTTTGCAATACTGACACATAGTTATAAGTATCAGTATTTATTTATTTATTTATGAGACTTATATACCGCTTTAAGTGCAAGCACTCTCTAAGCCAGCGGTTCTCAACCTATGGGTCGCGACCCCATTTGGGGTCGAACGACCATTTTACGGGGGTCGCCAAACAACGCGATCCGCCATTTTCCCCCCTCAGGGGGTGGTGCCGCGCATGCGCGCCGCACGTGGGGGCGGCGCCACATCCGTGTGACGGGGGTCGCCGTCACACAAACGTTGAGAAACGCTGCTCTAAGCGGTGTACACCAGTAAGCAATGTATATATATATTTACATTGCCCCCAACAATCTGGGTCCTCATTTTACCTACCTCGGAAGGATGGAAGGCTGAGTCAACCTTGAGCCGGTGAGTATTTGTATCAATGCTGATATAAAATGATTTGACATGATTAATTAAATGAAAGTAGCTTCAAACTTATTTCAAAGTAACTGGAGAAAAAGAGAATGGATGCAAGGAAGAAATGGAAACTTTCTTTAAAAAAGAGCCCCAGCACAAACCCCATCTAGCACCCTATTATCCCAGCCAAAAAGACCCACACAAATCCAGAGACCAATTCTTACCTTGTTCTATACGTGTAGCTAAGTACAACATTTCTCCCTGAGCTGCCAGCTGGTGAACAGACAGAGCTGCAAAGGCAACAACAGAAAACCATATAACAATTCAGTGAATTCTATGCATAACCAGGAATAATACCATAGCCACATAAATTAGGTTTATACTACACACTGTACTAAAATATGGTTTGTCTTTACCTACATTTATTATACAAATCACTCAGGTTTACACACTGAATTATAACCAAGCCCCACCAATTCACATGTTGATCTGGTATATGAAGCCAACCACAAGGGTTGGGTACTGACAGAAGGAGATGTATTAAGGAAGTGAGAGCTTCACTTCAACAATCTTTCAGTTATAAAGCAATATGGCTGTATCTTTCATTGTTATAAAGCAATATGGCTGTACAAATCTTACAATTATATCTTTCATGAGTAAAGCACTTGTATGGAATTCTTGACACTCCCTGAGTTTGGTTGTTTGCTTGCAGATATATTATCTAACTAGATAGCATCAATGCTAGTGGGGGTGTGTGTGTTTCCATTTATAGACAGTAGCTTCCACTGCCACTGTTGATGGAGATGTAGTCTTCTTCCTGGTAGTTTGTTAATTACGGTATTGTTTTCTGCTTGTCTGGAATTAATTCCTATTTATCTGGTTATTGGCTACTGAACAGGATATTCCTGGTCTTTTTGTTTCCTTCTTAGCTTTTTAATTTTCTCTTTTAAATGCTCTGTAAATGTGATTTATCTTTACAGACAGTTTATGACTGTAGTGGAGCCTGCTCATCATGGTCATAAGTTGTGACAATTATAAAATGAGTTAATCACATGACCAACCTGATTTTACAGCCTTTTTGCTGCAGTTGTTAAGTAAACCAATGGTTCACTATTGCTTGGTTTTGCCCAAACCCAGAAGTGCTGGTTTTTGGCAAAACTAAAATGTGGTCAAATGACTGTGGGGAGCTGCAAATGGCCATAAATGCAGCCAAGTTGCCAAGTGCCTGAAATTCTGTCATATGATTGCTGTGTGTGTAAAACAGCTGGAATTTTTAATATAGATTACAGATACCATGTTTTCCCGAAAATAAGCTCTAGATTTTTACACATGCGCCCAATATAAGCCCCACTCCCAAAATAAACCCTACTTAAGATCCTGCCCACTCCATTGCACCTGGTTGCACGAGATGGGGTGAGGCACATGGATAAAAATCAAGCTAGGGCGGGGATGGGGGGGTGGAGCTGCTCCACACATCCCGCACCCACTTAGGACAGTTGCAGCCAGGCCTCCCATGCCTTGACACCTGCCTCACCTCATCGGTCTACTTCTTTTGCAGCCACTCGTTACCGCTCGCATGCATCACCCCAGCCTCCGTTTCACCATCAGAGGCCTTCAGGAAAAGCCTCTGCAGTCGAGAAATGAGTTTTGGAGGGACCTCTGATGGCAAAATGGAAGCCAGGGGGCACCGCGCATGTCAATCCAGAGCTCATTTCTTGGCTGTAGAAGGCTTTCCTGAAGGTCTATGATGATGAAATGGAGACCAGGGGCGACACATGTGGGCGGCACAAAAGAAGTGGGCCGGTGAGGCAGGTGTTGGGATGTGGGAAGCCTGGCTGCAACTGTCCTAAGGTAAACAGGTAGGACATCCCCCCCCCAAAAATAAGACCTGGTGTCTCTTTTGGAGGCTAAAAGAAGACAGGGTCTCATTTTTGGGGAAACATCATATTCCCAAGGTAGGTCCATCATAACTTCAAACAGTCACTAAGCAACTGGTTGTAAGTTGAGGACTATCTATATGGATCTACTGATGCCTGATTATCTGAATGCCAGTTTAAAGGAATTCCCTAGTTATTTTGGATTTAGCTTGGTTTAGGATGCTCAGTTTCTCAGTTAAAACTATGGTCGAGTCTGTTCATGCATCGGGAGATACATTTATACTTAGATGGTAGCAATGGATATCCTCTGCCAGTCTTCTGCTTACTTCTCTTGTATAATGCTAATTTAGTTCTTACACTGTATGTTGTAGGACTTCTGTTTTTCTTCCTTGGGCTACTTGGTCTTTTAATTTACTTAAGAAGTTTTAAAGGCTTACATATATTCTCTTCAATTGGTAAAGCACTTCTCTGGATCTGTGGTACAAAACAGCCATAGCAGCTTGAAGGCTCTTGAGGACTTCTGTATCAATATGAATTTCTGGGACTGTTCCCAAACTTATTCTTTCTACAGAGAAACACGTACAGTTTACAAGCAAAGGTGTTGTAGAGACTTCATTTCCTCTGTGCTTGTTAGTTAAGGTAGTTGACTGCTTGATAGGTGAAAAATGCTTAGTAGTTGATGGGGTATAGACGTGTCTCACTTGAATCCCAGGAGAAGGAGAAGTGTGGATATTGCACTCAGCTAGACAAAAAAATAATCGTATAACAATATTTTATTGTTCAAAAGAATGTAGTTGTTTCATGCTTTATTCAGATAACATCAGTTCTTGTCTTAAGAAACAACATCAAAAGACAGAGCTTATCCTGTGCTCAATGTTTGCAGTTAGGAAGAATCATGTAAAATGCTAAATAAATCACAGATTCACCCAGCTGAATGAAAATCAAGAGTATTTAGACAATATTCATGATATGCTTGACTGAACCTAACCTGCTAAAATATTTTTGGATGCTGACTTGTCATATTCTAAATACTTGACTGAAGGAAACATTTAATCAGGATTCTGGCCAGAGTATGGGACAAAGACGGCACTGATCACATTCTTGGATGACCTAGAGTGGGAGTGGGATGGGGGCATACCATCCATCCTTAACCTTTCAGCTGTTTTCAATGGTACCGGTCATGGTCTTCTTCCGGACCTGCTCTGGGAATTAGCGGTGGGTGGCATTGTGCTGGGTTGGTTCCCTCCTTCCTCAGGGGAAGGTAGGTTTCAGTTGTTGTTAATAAGAGGGGAGAGGGCCAATCCTCAGTCTCTTCTTGTGAGATGCTTCAGGGCTTGGATCTTTCTCCCCTCTTGTTTATAACGTACATGAAACCACTGGGATGAAATGGTTTCATCTGACAGTTTGGGATGAAATACGACCAGTATGATTGGGACCACAAGTGTATGCAGAGACCTGTTTTGTAGCTAATGTAGTCATCATAACAGATGCTTTATTCTCAGCTGCCATATATTTTAATGTTTGCCTTATTTTAATTGCTTTTATTTAAATTTTGTTTCCCCACCCAGAGCGAGATGGACAACCATATGAAATAAATATTACTCTACGTAGTATTTTGATTGGACTGACCCAATCATAATAGAAAATAGAAGGACATTTTTTTATACCTGAGTTGTTTATATGTCTGACACCAAATATTAAGTAAATCCATAAACATGGAAAGTTCGGTCCACTTTACATATAAGAATGGTGGAACAATGACAAATTTTCCACAAAAGTGGAAAATAGGAGGAAGAAGTACTAGATATAATTGCTGCCTTGAGTTTATAAAAAGTTTTCATTACTCGTTTATATGTGTATATTTATTTATATGAGATAAATACATATCAATAATGAAAACAGAAAAAAATGTTGGGTCACATAAGATAGAACTTCAAACCAAATGTAAGTCTATTTTTTATAAGAAAAATGTACAGTGTTCAATTGCACCCATCTATTCATTTGCTTTGGTAGCATTATCCTTGAAGAAAAAATTAAAAACTGACCTTTAAATAATACTGAAGCGACTTCAAGATCAGAGTTCACCTGATCTTGAATATTTTTGCTCTCCTCTTCATTTAATGATTTGACAAATCGAGAACACACATTCATATCAAACCTATTGGGCAAAATGAATTTCATTCCCATGGCAACACTCTGAGGTGGTCCTTCTTCCACACTGGACTCAAGGTGGTGATGTTCAACTTTAATATCTGGCATATGAGACAGGCTAAAGGTGCCAGCACAATCTTCCACAATTAGCTGGGTATCAGCATCTAGATTGGTTGAGGACTCCATGATCTGAATTTCAATTATGTAATTTGTTTCTCAAGGTATTTGATGTATTCTCTTTTTCAGTATCAGTGTTTGTGATTTCTAATAATCTATAGCTGGGAACAAAATATCAGTAAATTAAAACATTGTGACACTAACTCAGTTTACTGTGCAAAAAGTAGCAATCATCACTATAAAAAACTAATTCTGAATAATGCAGAAAATCCAAAAATAGCTTCTAAAATTTCTATACCAAGCTCTACTCAAATCAGATTTCTACTATGTTACAGGGGAATCAGCCCAAGGTAGGAGGTCTTAAAAATTGAGAAGGGCCTCTTTTCATAAACAGTTATAAAATTTATAAACATAGAGTTATCTACATATTAATCATCAGTGGCAGAGTACTTTAGGTGACTTCTCTTTGCCAGTATCGCTGCTGTAGCATTACAGATTTCACCAAATGCAGGGCTAATGGGTTAATGCCTCCCAAACATGACATTTATCTTCAATAAAAAGTAAATTTAAGTTCCACCTTTTTACAAAAAACATAAACGAAGACAGCTTATAGAACATACATGGAACATACATTTCATAATAGAACTTAAGACTTATATACTACTTCACAGTACTTTACAGATCTCTCTAAGCAGTTTACAGAGTCAGCCTATTGTCCCCAACGGTCTGGGTCCTCATCTCATTGTATTTTCCTTTATTCAAGAAGCCTCCCTATGAACTGAAACGCGAAATCACTATTTCTTTCCAACGGACATCGCTAACTTAATTTGTTGCCGCATAATGCGGCAATGACAACCAATTTAGATAGCCTAAATATGATTCAAGTTCATAGAATCTAACCTGGCGCCTCCGTAAGAAGACCTCACCTGCAGAACCAGCATCCAGTGGGCTGCAGAAGGAGCAACCCCACGTTCACAGCCCCGACTTAAGCTGACCTGGGTCTTTCCGATCTAAATTTCGCCACTAGACTCTTGTATGGCGCAGACGCTTCTGTTCACCGTCTCTCCGGCTTCACTTCCACAGGTCGCCGAATTCCTCCTCTTCCACCTCGCCTTCTTTCAACTCCATTGTCTCAGTTCGTTTCTCACATTGCACGCCAATCCGCTGCTGTTGTTATTCCGTTCCATGACGTCACTTCCGCCGAAGAGCACAGAAACGAGGGCCGTCTCTGCTGCTACGATTACCTCATCTGGACTGCAAGCCTCCAGAAGACCACGAGAGGGCAACACGCGGCAGCAGATACTAGACTTAGTTGTTTCCTTGCTGCCCTCTCGTGGTTTCCTGGAGGGTTGAAGCTCAGAAACAGTTCGAGAGCCCGGGACAAGGGTTTAGTCTGCTTAGTCTTCACAACCTCTTCTTCTATCCCCTGCTTCCTTGTATACGCAGTGGAGAAAATTTAAAGCAATGCAACACCCTACACAAAGATTGGTCGACAACGGGCAGGAATTGCGAAGAGCTTCCCTCCGGCTTATTCTGCCCTCTTCTGGCCGAATCAAAAAGAAAGCGGAAAGAAGGGCGAGAGCCGACGCGAATGAGAAAAGCGTCCGCCCTCTGCCGGGCCGCCGCAGAAGTTAGAGCGGAGGCGCGGTATGATGACGTAGTCGCTGAGCCGCAACACTGCTGCGATGGCGGCTCCCTCGGCGGCAGCGTGAGCGTGAAGAACCGGAGGTCCCGGTAACTGCGGGCTGATTGTGTGTGTGTGTGGGGGGGGGATTCTCAGGGATGCGAAAACTCCCCAACCTCGAAACAAAGTGGTTTCCTTCCCCTGGTTTAGGTCTTCCTTTTTAAGCCTCAATTCATCCTCTCTAGTATCGGTAGGTAGACTGTAGCGTTTTAATGGCAGGAAGGCAAACCAGGAAGAGCCGCTTCTTTCCCGACCTTGTTGTCTCTCTCCCAGAAAATGCTGCAGGAGTATTAGATTAGATTGACGCTTCCTTGCCTGCCTGCACTGTTAACAGCAGGCAGGTGGCCCTGGAAAGCCTCCAAGTGAACTCTGAAAGCAGCGTTTTTCCACGTTTGCAATCATTGGTATTTGGGGCAATGTTGCTTCCGAAAAACGTTTCTTGGGGCAGTCTTCCACTGGCATTCATGCTATCAATGAATTCTAAAAGTAATTGCAATAAAAAATGGAAAACTGGGTGGCCAGAATTGAGCATAACCTGTATTGTCATAAACACAGTTTATGAAGTCTGACTATATTACTGAATCGGCTATAAATTATCAATTGCAATTTACTAGGTGTGTGATAGTTGACATTGAGACTTTTGCTCACATCCCTCTTCAGAGCTTGTAACTATTGACTTCAAGGAAAAAATATAAACCTTAGGAGCGTTTGAGCAGATTTTCTAGTTATATTTAAAAAAAATTGAATAGAAAAGAGTAACAGAATAACAGAGTTGGAGGTACCTTGGAGGTCTTGTAATCTAACACCCTGTTCAAGTAGGAAACCTTATCTCATTTCAGATAAATGCCTGTCCAATCTCTTCTTAAAAATAGAATTCTTGTTTAAGATGGAATAACAAATATGTTGTGGATTATTGTAGAATTTTACCACCTCCCATTTCAAAATGAGTGAAACAGCCTAGTCCTCAATAGTAATTTGAATTCTAAGATTTATTCTATACATTCATATTTTAGATAAAAGAAGATGGGAGAATTGTATCCTTACTTATTTTGCTATTTTAAACAACCTGTTTGCTTTTTATTTTAAAAGGTTGCATCTAGAAAATTCTAGCCTTATGAGGTTTACAGGTGGAAGATTACTTTCTGCTTCTGGAGAAATTTCATTTAAGAAACAATGGCAAATTACAAGCCTGTAATAATTCAGACATTTCCAAAGCTTGGAGAAAAAATTACAAAGGATACTTTGTATTGGAAGAATTACAAGGTAATAACATATACTGTAGCTAATTTTAGGAACTGAAACCGATATAATCAATTCTTTGTAAATATTACCTGATTTGATTTTTTTTCATTGAAAAAAGAAAAGTGAAAAATTTGTTATCACTTGTGCACTCTCCCATTGCTGAGTGAACCCCGATTTAATGAATCCTCAGGTTAGCTGACTTTAGAATCCGTGGACCAGATTCCATCCAAACATTTCCCACAAGTGCCAGACAAGTTGGTTGCATTAGAGTAGTTTGGACAAGATAGTTTAAGTTATGGTAATTTAGCCTACTTTCTACAAAACTACAGCAATTGTGCAAATTATGTTAATATAACATTAATTTTTGACAGCCAGTTCGGTCTAGTGGTTAAGGAAACGCCAGAAATCAGGAGAGTGTGAGTTCCAATCCTGCCATAAGCATGAAAACTAATTGGGTGACTTTGGGCCAATCACTCTCTTTCAGCCCACAAGGTCAGCTTTGGCTGTCAGTTCTTGTCTCAACCAATGGATGACTACTCAGTTGATCTGAAAAAAATGGAGCCGGCACTTGCAGGAAAATGACAGGAAGAAAAAAAAAATGCAAAATGAAAGTACTACACAAGTGAAGTAAATCATCATGAGTATCTATTTTCTTATGAAATTTGAGAGTAATTGACATTTTTCCCCCCCAAATGAGCTATTAAAATGAAGTTTCACTGTATGTGAATGCATGTAATATTGCAATGCTGTGAATAAAAATATTTCATTTTTAAACTTAAAGATTGTCACTTTTCTCTTTCAGTCTTTTATAAATATTTTTTCTAATAACATTGCCTTAAAAAGGATAATAATGTGTAACATTGTGCTACCTTTTTTCAGACTCCCATTCAGATAAAGGAATTCGGTGCAGTGAATAAAATAGACTTTTCTCCAGTTCCTCCGTATAATTATGCTGTCACAGCCTCATCAAGGGTAAGATTTAAGTTAAATTTTTGCTTTAAAATATCTACATTTTCTCACACTCTAACTCTGCTTTGTATTGTAGTGAATTTCTGCAAATTAATTGCTGTACCATCCTATTTTTACTGTAGTTGAACAAATGTGCCCATTTGCTGAAACAGGCAAAACAATGCATAGTGAATTTAGTTCTGTTATATGGAAAGGTCTTTTATAATTCTATAGTTTTTTCCCCCTGGTGCATATTTTTACTTAGGTTGCTCCTTCCACTTACTTTAGTAGCAAGAGCAAAGAATTTCTTTTGTAGCCTGTAGGTTGCCTCATAGAACTACCTCCAAGTTGTTTGATTCTTCCCTCTGATACGCAGGCTGATGCACCAGCTCCCAGCTCATCTTGATTTTCTGCTCTTATCTTTATTTTTCATTGAAAATTTTTCATTGATTGCCAGGTCCCCTGAAGGTTTAGGAAGCCCCTCATTCTTCTTGTGCTTCACAATAATCAGAAAGTTGGAATCACCATTTTCAAAATTTAATCTTTCAAGTGGCTGCCTCACCAGAAGCATGACTGTCTCCTCACACACACATCCATACTGCATATCTTTCCCTTCCCTGGAATAATTTTCAACAGCTGCAGTGGGGACAGCAAATGTTCGCTCAATTGATTTACTCCTCACAGGAGGTAAAATCATCCTCAGCCCTTTTGAGAAGCTCAGAGATCCACAGATAGAATGAGAGAACAATAATTTCCTTCCCCTCAAGGGACTAATCAGTCATCCTCCACCACAGTAACAATTAGCTGCAAGAGCCTTAAGCTCATTAGTCCCCTTTTCATTCTGGCAGAACCATGTTAAAACTCTAAATTGGTTAATCTTACTGAAATTTTGTTCTAGGGAAAAGTTTTGTAGCCAGTTGTGGAAATCTGAATTAGTAGTTATCATTGGATTCATAAGTCTTAACAAACTAGTTTGATCAAGAAGAAAAACAAAGCTTTTGTTTTGTTACCTAGGAGAAGGAACATGTACCATTCAGGATCCCTATGCTTATACTTGTGATACCAAACAAGGTTTATCAATAAATGTGAGTCTCTAGATCAGGGGTAGTCAACCTTGGCTCTTTTATGACTCGTGGACTTCAACTCCCAGAATTCCTGAGCCAGCTAGATATATCTGAAAGAGAACTAGTTCTCAGAGAAGAGGTATTCTATGGATCATTGGTCTCAAATTCAAAATCATCATGATGACTATATGATGACAAGTTTATTAGTCCAAAGGCCAGAATAAGGCACCCTTTTCATATCTTTCTGCAAATATATTGTGCACCAAAAATGAAGAAAATAAAGAGGATCATAGCAAGTTGTTAAACACATTTATTAAAGAAAGAAAACATTGCTACAAATCAGAGTTACCTTTTGGCTATTTCAGAGGCCACAGTAATGTCTGAGCAGTCAAGGTCAAAGTTATTGACTTTGATGTAGGGCATGTGGAGAATGATTCATGCATCGACTGTGGCTATAAGCAGCAAGCTGTTGGCTTTTTCCAGTATCATTCTGAATGAAAATTTGTGATTATATGTTGTTTTAGATCCACATATATGGACGATATTCACAAGAGCCAATCAAAACATTTTCTCGCTTCAAAGATGTAGCTTATTGTGCTACCTATCGAGAGGATGGGCAGCTGCTTGTTGCTGGCAGTGAAGAGGGGAGCGTTCGGATCTTTGACATTGGTGGGAGAGCACCATTAAGGCAGTTTGAAGGCCACACCAAGTAAGTACGGGAACATGACTATACTTGATTCGTTGACTAGTTGCTTCAATCTACAAATGTACTTTGGAGTAATTGCAATTTCAAATGTGAGAAAAATATATTCTGAAGCATCTGTTTTCTCAGTTCGTGAACAAATGTGTTAATTATGTTGTAAATATAATATTTACAAGTTATAAATTGTCATTGTTTTACCAACTGATGAGTCTATATTAATGTCATTAGGCCCAGTACATTGATTTAAAAAATTCTTTGTGTGCAATTGTGATGTAAAATGCAGACTTTTGGCATACATTTTGCACATAATTATATGCTCACCTTTGCTCCCACAGATCTGATTTGTTTAATTGTGCCAGAAAACTTGATTATTCATTTTGGTTTTAATTAATATACTTGAAAATATTAACAACTTGGAAACATTCGATTATTGATCCAAGCAGAGTTTTCATAATTGTATATTTTAAAAATACAACTAGAATTTGTTTTTATGAATAATACAGAATTTTACAATATGAATTGTTGAATACATTTAATTTACTAATTAAAGTTTAATTGGTATTTTAGTTGTTTATTTGCACAAATCCTAACTAATTCTGAATGGCCTATAAGCTGCATATAATATCCTGGCTTAGCATATCATGCTTTAACCCAGAATAACTGGATCATTATTGTTACCTTGATGGGTGAACCCAGCCATTTTATTTGTATTCGCTGTGTGAATTAGTGGACAGATTTCCCCCTATTTATAAAGATTATTTTCTTAGATCTTTAATATATTGTTCTCAACTCTTGTGTTAATTTTTTAAAA